ATATCTCTAATATCTCTATTTTTTTTCTAATATCCCAATTTGTTCTTAAATATCTCAGTTATTTCAACGTAATGTCTTATTAAACATATTTATTTTTGTGCGAAAAATCGCAAGTACAGGAATTTATTTAATAAAATTTTATCAAAAAAAATTAAAATAATATATTAAAAAATTGTATACCCCAAAAAAGACCTAAACTCATCCTTACAAATCCTTATATTTCCGAGAAATATTGGCTGTTTTATCTTTTAAGAATTAAAGGAATTTTCTAATATCCAGACTTTTTCTATTATATCCGAAACTTGCTAAATATCTAAAAAGATATCCGGATATTTGTATCTATGCCTAAACAAGTCGTACGTACATGTATGGGCGGGAAGGGGGACGGGGGGGCTGTGTGAACGGGGTGACATAAACAACGATTAAATAAACACATTCTGTCAGCTGCGCGGGAGGGGAGTACTGCCGTTCGGGTGTAGCGCGCGGTTGCGTGACGTGGCGTGCGCGTGTGCGTGCGGTGTGTATTGTCGTGCGTGGTGTGTGTGATGTGAGCGTAGCACGTGCGTGAGTGCGTGGCAGGGCGTGCGACTCGCGTGCGGTGGTGCGTGTGTGCGGGCATGTGGGTTTGTGAATGTACGGTGCGTGCGGTGCGTGCGGTGCAGTGGTGCGTGCTAATGTGTGCGGTCGCGTGCGGGCGTGGCACAATGTGTGCGTGGCGATTGGCTGCGTGCGTGCGTGCCGTGCGTTGCGTGCGTGTCGTGCGCTGCGTGTGCGTGTGCAGTCTCACGCAGTTACAGTGAATGATTCGCCATTTTCCCGAAGAATGGCGGCGAATCTTGTTGCGAATGCTTCCTTAGCGAGCGCGAGCGCGGCATCTAACATAAAAACATAAGCATTCACTAGTGTTAGTTCTCCGACGACCCACCCTGCCCCCTCCGATACCCCACCCTCCTCACTTACGGAGCGCTGTTGATGCGGCATGTAACAGTAAAAACATAGCCAGCACATCAGTGTTAGGTTCTGCCGCGACCAACTCCTCACCTCCCCCCTCCCTCCCCTCCGCATTTACCCATCCTCTCCCTCCATTAGTTGAATTCCGGCAACCGTCTTGGCGTATTAAAAAATTCCGTTTGTCTGTAGTCTAGTGCCTCGCAACGCCAGGAGTGATTGTTACTTTCGGTTTGTACGGCCTATGACGGATCTGATTTTATTTTATTTTGTGTCAGTGGGCGGCAACTCTGTGGCCCCGCCACCAGACGGCATCGCAATCGACCCTTCGTCGGTGCCCGCCGTGAGATGGCGCCACTGTCACGCCCCGACCGGCCGATTTCCGCGACGGCTCCCACAGCCTCACCGGCGCCCCCTAGCGAGGCAACCCGCCCATGCTCCCTGTGTTAGTCGACCTACCACCCGCACAGACAGACAGACAGACAGACAGACAGACAGACGCACGAACACTAGCGCACCTAAAAACGAATGAGACAGATATATGTATGTTAGTCTGGCGCCGCGCGGCCGCAGACGCCTACTCAGCTACGACGCACGAACGGACGGACGGACGTCTATGCAAGCGCCCCCTGCAGGCAGCGTGAGGCGGGGGCGCACTCGCACCTTACCTGAGGATGTGAAACAGGCGCGCCATTTTACCTACTGCGCGGATTTTATTCCGGATAATGCGCTTACGCTCCTCGGCCGGGTCACCTGGAAACAACCGACCAATCAGTGAACAGCAGACGACGGACTGGTTGCCGCGGCGACCGCCGCGGCGAGGGACGGCGGGAGGCGGTGTAGGGGGCGCCGGTGACGGCGAGGGGTGCGCGGCGCCACCTACCTTCGCCCGTCGGCGGCAGGACGGGCGGCTATCTGAAACGAAACATGCGCGTGGCGCCGCCACCTGGCACCCTTACTTACCTTAACACAGTAAACATACGCGCCATTTTGCCAACGGCTCTGATTTTGTTCCGCATAATTTCCCTCCGCTGTGCCTTTAGTTCGCGATCTGCTGGAAACAAGTGAACACATAGACACGTTAAGCAGCTGCGTGAGTGTGCGCACTGTGAGGGAGCTCCCTCTAGCGGCGGCGGCGGCGGCGGGGGGCGAGGCGGCGACAAGCGAGTCGTTTACCCGGCGACGATGGCAGGCCTGTATCTGGCAGGTGGCGCCACGGTCGGCTACGATCGCAGGCGAGCAACGCGCCGACAACTAAGATATCCGATTATATCATCGAAGTTTCCAACCGCTAGACTATTGTGCTGCGTTTTGATCGCCTTTAGTATCATAGCATTGACAGATAGAATTAATAGATAGAATTGATAGATAGAATTGATAGATAGAATTGATAGATATAATTAATACATAGAATTGATAGATATAATTAATAGATATTGATAGATATAATTAATAGATAGAATTGATAGATAGAATTGATAGATAGAATTAATACATAGAATTAATAGATAGAATTGATAGATAGAATTGATACATAGAATTGAAAAATGGAATTGATAGATATAATTGATAGATAGAATTGATAGATAGAATTAATAGATATAATTGATAGATAGAATTGATAGATAGAATTAATACATAGAATTAATAGATATAATTGATAGATATAATTGATACATAGAATTGATAGATAGATACATATAATTGTAACTGGAATTGATAGCACTATAATTGAATTTTTGCACCTGCATGGCTGCCTATACAGACCTGCCACCGAAGATGAGAGAGAGAGAGCAAGAGAAAGAGAGGAGATGGAGACGGAGAGAGAGAAAAGGCGAAGAGATATAGAAGGATGGAGAGGAGAAGAGAAAGAACCAGAGAAAGAGAGGATGAAGAAGGAGAGGAGTAGAAAAAAGAAGAGAGAAAGAGAGGATGGAGAAGAGAGAGAGAAAGAGCAAGAGAAAAAAAAGGATGGAGAGGAGAGAGAGAAAGAGCAAGAGAAAGAGAGGATGGAGAGGAGAGACAGAAAGAGCAAGAGAATAGAGAGAGGAACGAGAAGCTAAAAGAAAGAAAGAAGAGGGGAGAGAGAAAGAAAAGAGAGAGAGGGGAGAAGAGAGAGAAGAGAGGATGAAGAGGAGAGAGAGAAAAGAGCAAGAGAACAATAGAGAGGGAAGAGGAGAGAGAGAAAGAGCAAGAGAAAATAGAGGAGGGAGAGGAGAAGGGAAGAGCAAGAGAAAGAAGGATAGGGAAGAGAGAGAGAAAGGAAAGAGATAACTAGAGAGAGGAAAGAGTAACTAAAGAAAGAGTAGAAGTAGGTGGGAAGAGAGAGAGAGAGAGAGATAGAGAGAGAAGAGAGAGAAAAGAGAGAGAAAGCGAGAGAAAAAGAGAGAGAGGGAGAGAGAGAGAGAGAGAGAGAAAGAGCAAAAGAAAATAGAGAGAGGAAGGAGAAGGCAAAAAAGAGAGAGAAGAGGGGAAGAGAGAGAGAGAGAGAAGCCGAGAGAGAGAAGAGGAGAGAGATGAGAGAGAGAGAGAGAGAGAGAAGAGAGAGAGAGAAGAGAGAGAGAGAGAGAGAGAGAGAAGAGAGAGAGGAGAGAGAGAACGAGAGCGAAGAGCGGAGACGAGGAGAGAGAGAGAGAGAGAGAGAGAAGAGAGAGAGAGAGAAGAGAGGACGAGAGAGAGAGAGAGAGAGAGAGAGAGAGAGAGAAAGAGAGATAGAGGAAGAGAGAGAGAGAGAGAGCAGAGGAGAAGAGAGAGAGAGCACACTGGAGTCCATATATATAGTAGAAACAGACAGAGTGAATAGATAGAGACAGGTTAGGATGGAAGGAGACAACAGAGTGGAATAGATAGAGACAGGTTAGGATGGAAGGAGACAACAGAGTGGAATAGATAGAGACAGGTTAGGATGGAAGGAGACAACAGAGTGGAATAGATAGAGATAGGCTATGGATAGAAGGAGACCAACAAGAGTGGAATAGATAGAAGAACAAGGTTAGGTATAGGAGGAAGAAAACAGATATGAAATAGATAGAGACAGGTTAGGATGGAAGGAGACAAACAGAGTGTATATAGATAGACGACAGGTTAGGAAAATGGAAGGAAGACAAGCAGAGTGGAATAGATAGAGACAGGTTAGGATGGATAGGAGACAACAGATTGGAATAGATAGAGGAGCAGTTAGGATATAAAGAAGGAGACAACAGAGTGGAAATAGATAGAGACAGGGTTAGGATGGGAAGGAGATAAAAGAGTGATAGATTAGAGAGCAGGTTAGGATGGAAGGAGACAAAGAGGGACATAGGATAGAGACAAGGTTAGGATGGAACGAGACAAGCAGATTGGAATAATGATAGAGACAGGGATATGGATGGAAGGAGGACAACCAGAGTGAGAATATAGATCAAGACAGTTAGGGTGGGAAGGAGAACAACAAGAGTGAATAGATATAGACAGGTTATGGGTGGAAGGAGCACAACAGAGTGTGAATAGATGATGAGACAGGTTAAGGATGGACAGGAGACAACAGAGTGGAATAGATATGGAGAACAGGTTAGGATGAAGGAGATAAGCAGAGTGGAAATAGATAGATGAACAGGAGTTAGGTGGAAGGAGATAACAAGTGGAATCAGATAGAGACAGGTTACGGATGGACAAGGAGACAACAGAGTGGAATAGATAGAAGACAAGGTTAGGATGGATAGAGATAACAGAGTGGAATGATAAAGAACAGGTTATGATGAAGGAGACAACAGAGTGGAATAGATAGAAGACAGGTTAGGATGGAAGGAGACCCAACAGAGTGGAAAATAGATAGAGACAGGTTAGGTGGAAGGAGATAACAGAGTGAATTAATAGAGGACAAGGTTAGGATGGACAGGAGACAAGACAGAGTGGAATAGATAGAGACCAGGTTTACGGATGGGGAAGAGAGACAAGCAGAGTGGAATAGATAGATCAGGTAGGCATGGTAATGGATATAACAGAGTGGAATAGATAGAGACAGGTTAGGATGGAAGGAGACAACAGAGTGGAATAGATAGAGACAGGTTAGGATGGAAGGAGACAACAGAGTGGAAGTAAGATAGAGACAGGTTAGAAATGGAAGGCGAACAACAGAGTGGAAATAGATAACGAGAGCAGTTAGGATGAGAAGGAGATAACAGAGTGGAATAGATAGACATGGTTATGGATGGAAGGATATATCACAGAAGTGGAATAGATAGAGACAGCGTTAGGAATGCGAAGGAGACAACAGAGTGGAATAGATACAGAACAGGTTAGGATGGAAGGAAACAAACAGAGTGGAATAGATAGAGAACAGGTTAGGATGGAAGGAGACACAGAGTGAATAGATAAGAGAGCAGGTTAGGATGGAAGGAGACAACAGAGTGGAATAGATAGAGACAGGCTTAGGATGGAAGGATATAACAGAGTGGAATAGATAAGAGACAGGTTAAAAGGATGGAAGGAGAAAACAGAGTGGAATAGATAGAGACAGGTTAGAAATGGAAGGCGAGCAACAGAGTGAATAAGATACAGACACGGTTAGGATGGAAGGAGAACCAACAGAGTGGAATAGATATGAGACAGGATTTAGGATGGAAGAGAGACCACAGAGTGGAATGATAGCGAACAGGTTAGGATGGAAGGAGACAACAGAGTGGAATAGATAGAGACAGGTTAGGATGGAAGGAGACAACAGAGTGGAATAGATATGAGGGACAGGTTAGGATGGAAGAGACACAGAGTGGAATAGATAGAGAACAGGTTAGTGATGGAAAGGAGACTCAATACAGACGTGTGAATAGATAGAGACGGTTATGGAAGGGAGAGGGAGGGATAGGGATGGAAGGAGACAACAGAGTGAATAGATAGAGACAGGTTACGGATGGAAGAAGACACAGAGTGGAATAGATAGAGACAGGTAGGATGAAGGAGACAGACAGAGTGGAAATAGATATGAGACGGGTTTAGGATGGAAGTGAGACAACAGAGTGGAATGATAGAGCAGGTTAGCGATGGAAGAAGGACAACAGAGTGGAATAGATAGAGACAGGTCAAGGATAGGAATGAAGACAACAGAGTGGAATAGATGACTGACGGGTTAAAAGAGATGGAAGTGAGACAACAGAGTGGAATAGATAGAGACACGGTAGGTAATGAAGAGAAGACAACAGAGTATGAATAAGATTATGTAAGAACACGTTAGATGGAAGGAGACAACAGAGTGAAATAGGATAAGAGACAAGGTAGCGATGGAACGGAGATAACAGAGTGGAATAGATAAGAACAGGTAGGATGGAAAGGACAACAAGAGTGGAATAGATAGAGACAGGTTAGGATGGAAGGAGACAACAGAAGTGGGAATAGATAGAGACAGGTAGGATAGGAAGGAGACAACAGAAGATGGAATAGATAGAGACAGGTTTAGGAGGAAGGAGACAACAAGAGTGGAATAGGATATGAAGACGGTTAGGATGGAAAGAGAGACAACAGAGTGATAGAATAGAGACAGGTTTTAGGAATGGAAGGAGACAAACAGAGTGGAATAAGATAGAGAACAGCTTAGGAGGATAGGAGACAAACAGAGTGAAATAGATAGAGACAGGTTAGGATGAGAAGAGAATGACAACAGAGTGGAATAGATAAGAGACAGGATTAGGATGGAAGGTAGAGCAACAGATGAATAGATAGAGACGGGTTAGGATGGAAGGATGACAACAGAGTGGAATAGATAGAGAACAAGGTTAAGGATGAAGGAACAACACAGAGTAGGAATAGATAGAGAAAGGTTAGGATGAGGAGACAACAGAGGGAATAGATAGAGACAAGTTAGGATGGGAAGGAGACAAACGAGTGGAATAAGATCAGATGACAGGTTAGGACGGAAGGAGACAACAGAGTGGAATAGATAGAGATCAGAGTTAGGAAATGGAGAGAGACAACAGAGTGAATAGATAGAGACAGTTAGGAATGGAAGGAGACACAAAGAGTGGAATAGATAGAGACAAGTTAGGATGGAAGGAGAATAACAAGAGTGGAAATAGATAGAGACAGGTATAGGATGGAAGGTAGATAACAGAGTGGAATAGATCAGAAGACAGGATTAGGAATGAGAAGGAGATAACAGAGTGGGATAAGATAGAATAGGTAGGAATGGAAGGAGATAACAAAGAGTGGAATAAGATAGAGACAGGTTAGGATGGATAGAGAATAATCAGAGTGAATAGATAGAGACAGGTTAGGATGGAAAGAGAGAACAGCAGTGAATAGATAGAAGACAAGGTTAGGGATGGGAAGGACAACAATGGAATAAATAGAGACAGGTTAGGATGGAAAGGAGACAACAGAGTGGAATAGAATAGAGATAGTTTGGATGGACAGGAGCTAACAGAAAACTGTTGTGTATGAACGGACACACCAGGATAACAGGATGCTGTGTATACGCCACCAGATAACCAGATGCTGTGTATAACGGCCACCACAGGATAACGGAATGCTGTGTATAACGGCACCGAAGGATAACGGGATGCTGTGTATAAACGGCCTACCAGGGATAACAGTATGCTGATGTATAACGGACCACACCAGGTATATACAGATGCTGTGTATAACGTCATGCAATCGGGCAGAAGACTTCAGACGTGAAAAACCAGGAAACGGAGGCGGGGTGGTAACCATGGTAACGACTGCACCTCGCGCGACGTGACATGCAGGAGGCACACGGAGATCCAACAGCACAGGATTCGTCTAAGCCAAACGCCGCGCAGAGCGACGCCATGCGACAGAGGTCGGAAAAGAAGCAAAAGCACAAGCGAGCGCGTGAGAGACAGAAAGAGACGTGCAGCATCATAGAAAGGAAAGAGAGCGAAGAGAACTCGAGTTGAGATGCTGCACCAGGAGGCTTAGCACGCAGCACGCCACCCCTAGCAGCTGCGAAGGTAATGGCTACAGAAGCAGCACGGCAAGACCACAGGAGAGAGAGAGAGAGAGAGAGAAGAGAGAGAGAGAGAGAGAGAGAGACAAAGAGAGAAAGAAGAGAGAGAGAGAGAGAGAGAGAGAGAGAGAGAGAGAGAGAGAGAGAGAGAGAGAGAGAGAGAGAGAGAGAGAGAGAGAGAGAGAGAGAAGAGAGAGAGAAAGAAGAGAGAGAGAAGAGAGGGAGAGAAGAGAAAGAGAGGAAAGAGAAAGAGAAAGAGAGAAAGAGAGAGAGAGAGAGAGCGAGAGCAAGAGAGGGAGAGAAAAGAGAAGAGAAAAGAGAGAGAGAGAGAGAGAGAGGGAGGGGAAGGGGTCGCCCACACGAAAACAAACCGAAAAAAAAATACGTTACGTAGACATGTGCCGCCTTGCTGCTATTTAACTATGTACGGTAACTGTGTCTGTAGGCCGCAGACTCTAGCACAAGGAATAGAAGAAGAAAAGCAGATGAGCAGAGAATGCAGATTCCAGCCCCTGAAGAGAGAGAAACCGCGAGCCCCCATCCCTTCCTTCCGCAGCCGCCGGCTCCTTCCTTCCCCGCCGTCCCCTATCCTTCTCAGCCTGCCGCGCCCCCATTCCTCCGCCCGCCGACCCCTCCTCCTCCCCGACCAGCCCTCCTTCCATCCCGCCGCGGACCCCTCCTTCCTTGCCCCCGCCCGGCTCCTTCCTTGTACGCCGCGCCTCCTTCCTCCCCCGCCGTCCTACTTGCCTTCCCGAGCCGCCCCCTCCTTCATTCCCCGGCCGCCCTCCTCCTTTTTTCCCAGCCAGCCATACACTTACCTGCCCACGCCGCACCCTCCTTCCTCACCCGCCGCCCCTCCTTCTCCCGCGCCGCCACCCTCCTTCCTATCCCGGCCGCCCCTTCTTTCCTTCCGACCCGCCGCCCCCCTCCTTCCTCCCCCGCCGCCCCTCCCTTCCTCCCACCGCCAGCCCCTACCTGTCGCTCCAGAGACCCGCGCCCTCCTTCCTCCCCCGCCGCCCTGACCTTCCTCACCGCCGCCCCTACCTTCCTTCCCAGCCGCCGCCCCTCCTTCACCTTCCCAGCGCCAACTCTTCTCCCCGCCAGTCCCTCCTTCCTTCCCGCCTGGCGCCTGCCCTTCCTTCCCCGCCGCCGCTCCTTTTTTCCCGCCGCCCTCCTTCCTCCCGCCGCCCCTCCCTTACTACACGCGCCGCACCTGGGTTCTTCCTGAACCCCGCCGCCCATGAAAACCTTCCTGCCACCGCCGCCCTCCTTCCCTTCCCGGCCGCCCCTCCTGTCCTGCCCCGACCGCCCCTCTATCCTTCCCCGTGCGCCGCCCGTCCTTCCTTACCCCGCCAGCCCCTCCTTCCTTTTCCGCCGCCCCTCCTTCCTTCCCCGGCCGCGCCCTTCTTCGCTTCAGCTCGCGCAGCCGACATGCCTTCCTTCACCCGCCGCCCCAGCGCTTACCTCCCGTGCCGTCCCCTGTCCTTCCTTCCGCGCCGCCCCTCCTTCTCACCCGTTGCCCCTCCTTCCTTCCCGGTCGGCCGCCTCTCGTCCTTCCCTCCCCGCCGCCCCCTTCGCTTCCTTCCGCCGCCACGTCCTTAACCTCCCCCGTCCCTTCCTTCCTTCCGGCCGCCCCTCAGCATTCCTCCCCGCAAGGGAGAGAGAGTGAAACAACGCCCTCCTTCCTTCCCGCCGCCGCCTCTCCTTCCCCGACCCACCCCTCCTATCCTTTTCCCCGCCGCCCTCCTTCTTCCCGCCCATGAACTTCCTTCCCGCCGCGACTGCCGAGCCGCCTTCACTCCCCGCCGCCCTCCTTCCTCCCAGCCGCCCCTCTTCCTTCGCCCGGCGCCAGTCCTTCCTCCCGCGCCCCTCGCTCTCCCTTCCCTCGCCGCGCCCGCTTCCTGCCTCACCGCCGCCAGGCTACCGCCTTCCTCCCCGCCGCCCTCCTTCCTTCCCCCGCCGGCCACCCGCGTACAACCTTACCATCCCCGCCGCCCTCCTTCCTCCCGCCACCGCCACCTTCCTCTCCCGCCGGCCATCCTCCTTCCTTCTCCGCCCCCTCCTTACCTTCGCCCGCCAGCCGACCTCACCTATCACTTCCCCGAGCCGCCCTCCTTCCTGCCCCGCCGCCCTGCCTTATCCTTTCCCGCGCTCGCCCCTCTTCCTTCACCCGCGCCGCCACCTCCTTCCTGTCACCCCCGCCAGCCGCCTGACCTTCCTATCCCGCCGCCTCCTCCCCTTCCAGCCGTACCTGCCTTCCCCCGCCGGCAGCACGTCCCTCCTTCTCCCCGCCGCCCCTCGCTTCCTTCCCCCGCAGCCTCCTTTCCTTCCCCGCCGCCCATCCTTCCTTCCCGGCCGCCCCATCCTCCTTCCAGCCCGTCCCTCCTTCCTTCCCCGCGCGTCACTAGGCCTTCCTGTCACCGCCGCCGTGTCCTTCCTTCTCACCGCCGCCCTTGCCTTTCCTTCTTCGCCGCCCCTGACGCGAGTGTACGCTGCTTCCTATCTCGGCCGTGCCACCCCTCCTTCCTTCCCCAGCCGCCCGCTCCTTCGCTTTCACCGGCCGCCCCTCCTATCCTTCACCGCCGCCCTCCTCCTTCAGAGCCAAATTAACATAGCACGAGTGACCCGAAAGGGAGGAGAGCCCCTACCTTCCTCCCAGCCGCCAGCCTACCTTCCTTCACCCCGCCACCTCCTTCCTTCGAACAACAGCCGCCGACCTCCTTAAACGCCTCGTCTCGCAGAGTGCGACCGAGA